ATTATGTACTTCAACAGTTTCATTAGAGTTATTTTTGGCGTGCCTTACTTAGTACCTAATATATCTAGAATGGGATGTTATATTGCACAAACTTTATACACTTGCATAACTTAATGCACTGCGAGACATCCCATTAATGGGCTCTCACCTCAGTGTGGAGGGAGCAGGGTTGTCCCTACGCGTCGGGACCAGAAGACCCTTCTGCTCTCACTGTTCATCCTACTGGTTCCCTCCAGCCTCGGAGGAGGGAGAACCAACTGGGTGCACAAAGGACTTACAGTCAAGAGATGGGGAGGCTCAAGAGTCACAAGATGCGGGGGGGGAGTCACAAAAGGAAGAAAACTGGATGAATTGGCTGAGGGGAATGAGCCAGAAGAAGAGAAATGTTCATGGCAATTAGGACACAATGGGAAAGCCTCTGCCAGGGCTTGCCTCTCCTCCCTTGCCTCCTCCCAAAGCTGCAGGCTCACTCCACAACTCTCTTCCCAAAACCAGATTGCTTCAGGCTCACCTACCTATTCTCCAAACAAGCTCCCAGCCTTCCTCCTGTATCCTTCTCCAAGCTGCCCTAAGCAGGGTGTCCTTATTTCTCTGGTCTCCGAAGAGGACTGAGTGTCTCCAGCACCCTCGGCTGTCCCCACTCTGTGTCATAGCTTAGTGTGTCAGGGTGGTGGGGTAACCAGACCTAATTCAAACACCTGTCCTAGCATCCCACTGAAAATGGGATAGACATGTTCATTTTGACCACTGAGATACCTAGGGCAGGTGTTTAAGATGGGACTGTTTCAATCCATACCCCCCAGCACACCTGCTTTCTGGGGTGCATGGTCATCCCCAGTCCTAAGCTTTGCCCAACACCCCTATCCAACCTAAACACTTCCGGAGGACACAAGAGATAGGTTTGTGCTCCTCTTTATCTTTATCATACTGCTCAGGGGTAGACTGACAACTCACCAGCAACGTTACACAGGGAGCTCTACAAACCTTGGCAGCTGTGAAGGAGCCTGCTCCTCCCAATGACTTGGAGGTATCGGCATCAAGTGAGCAGGGGAATTGAGCATGGCACTCTGGCAGGTGGATTGGGGGTGTATGAGTGTGATAAGTTTATTTGGTTGCATAAGCTGGTATGCATGTACCTCAGTGTGTCTAGTATGCTGTTAAAGGAGAAAATACATAATGCCCTAAGCAGAACACATCTGATTTTCAAATAGACTATTTAGAGTGTGACCTTTCTGTATTTTATTAACTTCCTTTTTCATACCCACTCCCAATTCACTGCTCAGTGTATGTGACATATCTCCTCTGGGCCAGATCCACAGATGTCATGAGTCTGCACTTGAAAGCCTGGCGGCTTAATTCAGTCATATGGAGTTGTCTATTTTGGATTGAACTCCCCAGTTCTGTCCTATGACAGCTGATGCCAAGGCTGAGAGTAGTACTGCACTCTTGTACTTCCTGGACTGGGCACAGGGAAAATATATAACAAACACTGGTGAATGAACTCCATATCCATGGCCTTTTACTGAAAAGGGAAAGAAGATAAAGTAAAGGAAAAGCACATTTGAAATGGACCTTTTGAGCTGGCATTTACATATGTGAGGAATGGTTTGAAGAAGAATTATATAGTGTCCCCGAGGCACTTCACATACACCACTTGGTAATCTGTTAGGTATTACCAAAGTAAGTTTGGTTTGCAGTGAACTTTTTATACATGGTCACTACAGACAGTGTAAAAACAAACAACATAGGCGTGCAAAATATTCCTGGAGATCCGTAAGGAGCCCTTGTTACAGTCACAAGCCATTTTCCACAGAGAAAAACTTAATGGGAATAACTTGGCTACATTCAGAGAGAACTAATTATTATTTCAAACAATAATTAATATTTACAGCACAAAGTCCAGAACCATTCCTTTGTTCTATAGGCACAATTTTGAAATCGTATTATAATGGGTACTATTATACTGAAAAACAGTGTGCTGACTGACAAAGTATTCAGTACATCATCTCGTACGGCCATAAAATGTAAGCAAGAAAATGAACCATACTTAACGAAATGCTAGGAAGATGTATATCTGAAGCACTTTATTTTTAGGAGTAAAACTGAGAGAGAATCCTTTTCCAAATGTATTTTGAAATACTCAAAGCCCTGCATTTATAAACCTAGTTATGGGAACAGCAAAGCTGACACTTAAAGAATAGAAGCAGTATATTCTGCATTTCATTAAATGTAAAGATGATGTTCCAGTAGCCTATTTTGGCTTCTGTCCTGTACTTTTTACTATAAATCTGGATTTGCTGAACTTTCCACATGAGTAGTCCCTCTGAAATCTTTGTGTTCATTAAGTTACTCATGGATGCAAGTGTACCCAGGATTGGAGCCTTTCTGGTTCCTAGCTCCTTCACCTTAGTGAATAGAAATCACAATGTAAAAGACAATTTTTGCATGAAATGTTCAGTATCTTGATAGAATTAAAAAAACGGACTATGGCATAAATGTTCTCTCCGTGCTGGGGGAGTTAGAAAAAGACACTGTGAAAAAGTGATACCGTCAAAAGTTTCAGGGACAGGTTGTAGCCTTATTGGTTTCCCGGTAAAAGGCATCAAGAGTCGTGGCAGAGGTGATATCTTTTATTAGACCAATTAGATATTTGCAAAACAATTTCTTTATTTTCAAGCTTTCCGGCACACTCACCCTTTCTCAGGCATAGGAGAATGCAAAAATTGTAAAACTTACCCTAGGTGGAAATGAAAATTCATATTTCACAGGAGAGATGAAGGTGTTATAAGGTCTCCTGGTTGGAATAGTTCATTTTGTGCAAATTAGGCTCAGACAAAAGTTAGAACGGTCTATTTACCTCAGTGTTGTCTGGCGTCAAGCAGGATGTTGAATTATGTTTCCTTCTGGGTATGATATTTTGTATTTCACAGGAGGATGGTGTGATGGATGCTCTCCTGGGCAGGAAATTCTCTTGTGTTGAGGCACTTTGAGCTCTGTGGACGTGCAGATTGAGCTGGAACAATAGGCAGGAGCCACGACGTCAGAAGTTAACACTCTTGTACAGAAACTAACTATGTATGAGAGTAGTGATAATACTATGCACTCGTATTATGCCTTCCTTCCAAAGACCTTGTTGCATCATGCTAGCATTAATATTAGCTTTGCACAAGCCCTGTGAGTTGGGTAAATATTATCCAAGTTTTACCAGTGGTGAAGCTACAGCATAGCAATATTAAGGCTGAACATTTTAAAGGTGCCCATCAATTCTTTAAGACTAGTTTGAGATGCTTCTTGCCCAGTTATCAGAGGTGCCAAGACTGCACAGCTGAAGCTTCAGACCACTAAGACCTTCAGGTGCTCAGCACCATCAGGCTTTAAAAAATAGATCATCGACTGGTATAAAACAGCATAGCCCTGCTGAGTTGGTGGTTTCTGTGCTGATGTACTCCACTGAAGCTAGACACAGAGATTACACATAAACTGGTTTAAGTGATCAGAAACTGGTTTAAACCTGTAACAGAACAGATGTTCATTGCACGTAAACCAGTGCAAAATGGCTGAAGCCAGTTTGAGAGAAACCTGGTTGAATGTAGTATCACACTTAAACTGATTTGGGTCAAACCAGTTTATGCAATGTCTGTCCCAGACACCTTGCTTGTTTCAGATAAACCAGACTCCCCCAGCATCCCAGCATGCTCTCTGGGCTGGGCGGGGCTCTCTGCTTCACAGGAGGGATGGCCCCTTCTCTCTGCTCCCTGGCTGCAGCTCTGTCAGAGACTTGCAGGCATAGAGCATCTGCCTGGTTTCTCCCTGCTAAGCAGGGAGTATTCCCCCCATCCCTCTACCTTATGCAGACACCTCAGCCTTAACTAGCAGACCACGTGCTGGCTACAGTCCATGTTGTGGGAGATGGCAAAGGCAGACAGGATTTTTGGAGCTAATCAACAAGTAGCTGGTAATGTCCTTTCTTGGAAAAGCTGTTTAAGAGGAGCTTGAACTAATGAGGCGTTGTCTTCTTAATGGGTTGATAAACACTGAAGTAGGGGCGATTAAATATTCCCTGCTGGGCAGCTCAGGAGATGGGGGGGAATAATCGGAGTGTCTGGCTGGGGCCTGGCCATGCCCCCCTCAGCTCAGCACTGTGCAAGGGAAGGGTGGGGGCTGCTCTAGCTCCCCCCGGTTTCTAGCTTGAGCCACTGCAGACATGTGCCTGAATTTTTTCAGTCCAGTGGGGAAGTCTGTGCAGTTACAAAGTGATTTAGCCTAGCCAGGTTAGACTAACCTTCAAAGATTCAATCAATTTAGGCTCAGGCTTTTTGAATGTCTGTCCCTAGCCTCAAGATCCTGGTCCTGTTTGCAACTGAGAACCAGTAAATGGAGGCTCCCAAATGTATGAGACACCTTTGAAAAATGTTGGTCCCAGATCACAACCAGTTTATAGCAAGCCCAAAAGCATGACACAAACCTTTTGACTCCTCGTCCTTGTCTGAGCACAAGTCCATCCATTTCTCAGTACTGTTTCGTAGCAGTCAGCTTCTGTGCAGGAGAACCTTGGGACTTTGTGCTGAAGCAACCTTGGATCTGCATCTCCGTTAAGCTGCATGGAGTATGCTTTTGGTTTCCTAGAAAAAATGCAAGTGTCACTTTTGGATATTAGAGAGGAGTGACCCAGACTGTGGCCATAATTGACAGGATCCAGGGACACGTTTGATACAGCAGAGCTCTGAGTAACTGACCTTTGCATGTTCCTCCATTGAACTATTCCTTCTCCAAGAAGGGTTGTCTTACCCCCACTTCATCTGCCTGACAAAGAAAGCTTCACTGCACTTCCATGCACTTATTATTAGATTTTCAATTAAAAACATGAGATGTTACAAAGAAATGCAAGCATTATTAATAATAATATTTTGCATTCTGATACCGTCTGAAAGCCCCAAATTACAGTTGGGGCCCCATGGTTTTCAGCATATGATGACAGATTGTCCTTATTCCCTCTAAAGCTCTGATCTTGCAACCTGTTGCTGTGAGATTTTGATGGAGGGTCACGGAAGTCTCCGTGAAATGGGTTTGGAGGCTGCATTGGCAAAGAAAAGTGCCTACTCCTCTTCCTTCAGACAGCCCAGCCTCTTCCTTTCTCCTCGGCCATCCCCACCAATGCAAGATGCGGTGCAAAGGAGTGCTGCGGGTCAGTAGCACTATGCTATGTGTTCTCCCAGTCCTTTTACCATTTTCACCTTGTTTCTGTATGAGCAGCTTCTCTACAATTTTCTTTATTTTAATCTCCGGCTGCTCCAAATCCTACCTGATTTCCTATTCTGTTCCTCTGTTCTGCTCCTCTTGTTTTTTCCTGTTTTTTCCTGACTTTTCCTTGCTTCTGTTTTCTCATTACTCTTCTTTGCTTTGACCTCTGCTTGTTCTTCATCTCTTTCTTCCCCCATTCTAACCCTCCCCTTCCACTCCCCCTCTCTTTCTACCTCACTCATCTACTCAGTCATTCTCTCTCACATGCAGTGGCAGCACTGATACAGTCAAAAGAAGAAAGGCACAGAATTATCAGTCACTAAATGGGTGGTTTTGATGGAAAATTAGAGAGGAAGAAAAGAGGAATTAATTATCCATAATGGAAGGGTTAAGAAATAAGATTCTCCTAACTAACACTAATATCAGAAGATATTCCATGTTTAGGAGATTATTGAACATCCTTCAATGTGAAGTCTTTAGATACTGTGAGTTGCAGTGAGTTGCACTGTATAGTGGTTAGAGCTGGGAAGTCAGAGTGAGGCCTCTAATCCCTTTTCCTCAGCTGATTCTATTGGGGGACCTTGGTTAAATCCCTTGCAGTCTGTTTTTTTTCAAAGTAGCTGTGCACCTGCAGTTCCCATTGCAGTCATGGTGTTACACATACTCAGCACTCTTAAAAACAAGGCCAGTAACTTGTCTTTCTCTTAGTTTCTCTGCTTACTTATAAAGTGCTTTGAGATCATCAGGGGAAAAGTGCCACATAGGTGCAAATTATTATGGCTTGCAGTTAGCATGAGCAAGTGAATTTCCAACTGTAAATTTGTGGTTTGTTGATTTCTAACAGGGCGTGCTGCTGACATGGAAGAGGTGCCAAGTCAACCAGATGAGTCAGTGCAGGCAGCATAATGCGAGTCCCTTTGAAGAACATAAGGGAAAAAAGTCGTAAGAGGGGAATGGTTTAAAATGTACAATGTGTTTAAGTCTTCCTTCAGGGGGCTGTGGGGAGGAATTCAGGCCCATGGTCAATTTACAGCCATGCAGCCAGCAATTAAGAACCCAGAAAATTGCTACTAACATTTTCCTAGGTGTTATTGTAATTGTGGATGCATATCCAATTAATGGAGGGATGGTGGGGCTGTTAACCTATGATGTGTTGACTGAATACTCCAAATAGACAAAAAGACCTGTAGTTTCTGTCCATCATACTTTCAACGCTGTCCTTGAGCAGAAGGAATTCGTGTGTCTGAACAATCCTAGAATAGCATTCCACGCGCATTCCTGATGAAAACTTGAGAACAAACAGCAATAACAAAGAGCATTTCCTTCTGTAAATATATTTTGCAAATATGCCTGGGTAGCTGGCCTTCAGCCTAGCTGCCCAGGTACCTGCAAAGAAGGTTTTCTAAAATCTGAATTGCCTGTTGTGGAGTGAAAACATACTACATACTGTTTCATGTATTGAATCTGTAACCATCTGCTATTTCTGTGGACATTGTGGCTTTCTAAGAGTAAATTATGCCTGGATGCTGAAGTAGTTATCAAGCACTCTGGTAGAGAATTGGAAGACCAAACCTCATGGTGGATTCAGTATAATCTGACAGGAGAAACAATGATACCTGTAGACACTTATGGTCAGACTCCCAGTCCTTCCACGACCCTTTTATGCTGCTGTGGTTGTAGAGGGAGGCCATAAAACTCACTGAATGACCCTTCTGTAATTCCCGTTCCTTAGGGGTACCATTGGGGTGGTGTATGGCTTTATGCTGCACACTTTGAATCACAAATAGAGAGGGTTGACCAGAGGTAAAGACTGGCTGTGATATTCCTAATAGTCCTTTGCTACTTTCTATGTAATAGGCCTCATCTAATGTCCATTAAAATTAAGGCAAATCGTTCTTTCAGCTTCAGTGGGCTCAGGATCAGGTCCACAAATAGCTGAGTGAAAGTTGGTCCAACCAATTATTTCAGGTGAACTGGTCCTCAGCCAATGCAAAAATCAGGAAACTATGACATAGGGGCATCTATACAGGAGCAGGGATGCTGCTCCGATATGCTGTAACTACTGTGCATTGGAGCAGGCTTGTTAATTGAGTCTGCTGGAGTGTGGTAATTACTGCACTCCAGCAGACTCCAGAATCTCTTGTACCAGTGTTCCTGTGCTTAAAAATGGCGGCGGGGGTGCTTAAACCGCTTTGAACTGCAGGGACACTGATTCACAAGATGCTCTGGGCGTTTTAATTAGAGCAGCTCTCGGAGGCCTAATTAAAGCACTTTCCCCCTCTCCCTCACTTCTGGAGCATGTGCATAAATACTAGGCCTGTGCAAAGAGGCTAGTATTCCCTTCAGATTGGGCTGATTCAGGGGACAGTGATTTGGTGATTCGAATCACTGTCCTGAAGTCATTTGGCGAAATCTGATTCAGAGATTTGGCTGCTGCCAAATTAGCCAAATCTCTGAATCACACAGGCCCCACCCCCTGCCTGTCCTCCCAGCCCCGCCTGGCCCCAGCTCCCAGCTCTTTGGGGGGGAAAAAAAAAAGCCCGCACTCACCGGCTGCTGCCAGGTAGAGGGCGATTCCCACTGTCCCCAACTGCCCCATGCTGTGTCGGGGGCTCTGCCACCACCCCCCACCACCCCCGCCCGCTCTCCC